CCCCAAAACCCCAAAACCCCAAAACCCCAAAACCCCGAGATAACCCAAATTCAAATTTTATAATTTAAATAGTTCAAAATGGAGATCGACGCATTAAGACTCTTCCAAGAAGGCATAGCCAATGACGATATTGAAGTCAAGGTCCAGACAGTCAAGAAACTCAGTCTCGTCATGAAAGCTATAGGTGAAGAAAGGGTCCACGATGAGCTAGTTCCCTATCTTACCGACTTACTTGAAATAGAAGATGATGAGATCCTCTATGTCCTTGCTGAACAGATCGGTAATGCATGGACCCATGTCTCAGATAAGCTCACTTTTCTGCCCATACTTAAAATACTCGCCAAAGTTGATGAAACTATTGTAAGAGAAGAAGCTGCTAAAACTATGGAATCTATAGAATCATCACTGAGCTCCAAACATGTGCAGACCACCTTTGTCCCTCTAGTAATGGAGCTGATCAGTCAAGAGTGGTTCACAGGGAGACTGACTTCTTCCCTCCTGATCCCAACTGCTTATCCAAAGGCTACCAACAAGCAGAAGGAAAAACTCAGACTTTTCTATCATAGACTATGACATGATGAGATGCCAATGGTAAGAAAGGCAGCTGCTAGCAACATTGGAAAGTTTGCCAAAAATGTTGAAGACGAGATCCTCGAGGGAGAGATCATTCCAAATTATGCTGAACTTACTCAAGACGAGCATGACAACATCAAGCTGGCTGCTACCGAAAAGATTCATGAATTTATTGAGTTAGCACCCTCGTCTAAAATACTTTTAAAAGTCACAAAAGAAGCTATATCCGATAAATCTTGGAAGATCAGACACTGTATTGCTAAGCAGATTAACCAGATTATCAAGGGATTTGGTAAGAAAATCGCTTCAAACCACATCCTTGACGATCTGACAACCCTTCTCAAGGACCAGGAGGGAGAGGTTCGCCAAGAAGCAGTGCATAGCTTTACAAAATGCTTAAATTTACTCGACAAGAAGAAGCTTGAGTTATACCTCCTCCCAACTCTTAAAGAGACCTATAAAGATGATTATGCCAATTACAAGGAAGGGGTCGCTCAATCCCTCTGTGAAGTATGCTCCCTCCTTGATGACGATGAGATCAATGCGAGTATTACACCCATCTTGATTGAGATGCTCAAGGATGATAGCTCCATTGTTAAAATAACAGTACTTGAAGGCCTTGTAAAAATGTCTGAGCATCTCGGAGTAAAGATCTTCGACCAGACCCTAATCGACTGATTCAAAAATACCATCAAAGAGTCAGCCTGGAGAGTCAGAATGAGTGTCTACGACCTCATCGGAGAAATAGGCCTGATCCTTGGTCGACAAGACTTCAGTGAAACTCTTGAAGACATCTTCCTCTCCTACTTCTCTGACAAAGCTGCTGCAATTAGAGAAAAAGGGATTGAAAAATCTATACAACTTGCTGAGAAGTTTGGCTCAGAATGGGTATCAGAAAAGCTTTTGTTAAAAGCCTTTGAAAATTATCATAACGAAGAACAAGGATATCTCTATAGAATGTGCTCATTGATGACCTTTGAAGCTGTGATAAAGTACATCAGTGACTCAGACTTTCAAACCAAATTTGTCCCTCTGTTAGTTAAAGCAAGCCAAGAAACAGTTCCAAACATGAGATTCTGCTGAGCAAGAGCTCTATTCAATATTAGAAGAGCTATAGACACCAGTCTATATGCTGATGAACTAAAAGAAATAGTGACAAGACTCCGAGACGACTCTGACCATGATGTTAAATACTGGATTAAAAAGGTGAGCCAAGGATACTAATCCTAGACCTATCATATTTTTCAATCAAAATTATTACATCCGGGGTTTTGGGGTTTTGGGGTTTTGGGG